TAATGAGAAGTAATAAAGAGTTAAGTTGTAAGGTATGTTAGGAGACAAGGAGTTAAGCAAGGGGGATTTTGGTGGATGGTATTGGGGAAAGTAAGTACAACAGCAGGAACATGCTTAACATATCAAAGAGCAGTTCAATGTTCTTTATTTTATGACTGGAGCAGAATGAGAGTTGGGCAAATAGAATGAGAGTAGGTCATAGAGAAAGAGGGTTGGAGAAGGCAGATATAGTTGAAAGGACTTGTTTTTCACTTTTAGGAGCCACTGGAGAGTTTGAGCAGAAGAATGGGAGGCTCTGACTTAGGGCTGCTCTGATAATGAATAAACTAGGGAAGGGAATGGGCAAAAACCAGGCAAATTAGTTTAGAAGCCTTGGAATAATCTAGGACCAGAGATGATGGTCAGAGTAATAGCAATAAAGGTAATGAAAAGTGATAGATTCTGGCTATATTTTGGAGAGCCATTAGGAATTTCCTGATACTATGATAACTTCAACATTTAAAATATTTTTGAACTTATACCTTTTATTAATGAGTGCAACAATTTTGTGGAAAGGTACAAACAAAATTTTAGTTTAAACCAAAATTACTAAGAATATTTTTTCAGTTTCTTCAATTCTTTGTAGAACTTTAAAAAAAAATTTTTTTTTTGGTGTAGAAAGCCACTTCATGTTATTAAAACTCCGTTAAAAGGGGCATGTTATGTTTGAATGGCTTAGTAAAAATATCTTAGAAAACTAAGTTGTAGAGATAGCTTCATTTCAGCAGACATGTTTTATTTAAATTTTTTATTGTCTTAATTTCTGTAAGGATAGTTAAACTTTTCCTTGAAATAAGGTTATCTAAAGGCAAAATGAGAAACTGCATTGCAAAATATTAAAAGCTTAATAATTGTTTTCTAATGCTTAAAGTAAAGATTGGTCATCAAGAGACTGCTACTTTTGTCTCAGTTTCTTCATGAGTAAAAATAAGCAATGATGCTAAAAGTTATAAGATAATGAGAACAAGTTATATTAAAGTTACATTAAATGTAGAAAGACATGAATATATTAACATAAATATTACCATTAGATATATTTAAAAGGAATTTTCAAAGTAAACATCCCGCATGTAGACATTGGCCATTAGTTTATTAGTGGAGAGCACAAAAAAACAATGGATTCTTTCTTTCTTAAGCGCAGAAGAAAAACTACCTTGGCTAGTCAGTGGAGGGCAATTTTGACTTGGACGTTGAAAGCCAGGGGATAATTCATGTATTTATAAATCAGGTGTTTGAAATTAAATACCCTCATAACTTATTAGAGCCAATCTCATAAAAGCTTGCTTTCTCTCATGAGGTGGTAATAACATACTAACCTAAACAAATGGCAAAATATTCTTGAGGGCAGGGTGATGGCAATTTTTTTTCTAGTTGAGGGTTTTTCAAACATTTTTAAAATCTGAAAACACTTTTTTAAACTGAGTTAAGTAAACCTGTAAATCAGATTTTAAAAAAGCACTACTCTGTTGAGATTTGAAAAGATAGCAAATTTATTTGCCCAATATTATTCTTTCCTATCTCTAGGTGAAAAATTTTTCTACCACAGTTTGAAAATCACTATATGATGATTCATGACATAAGCTGTGAAGCTGACTTAACAGCAGGTAGCCTGCCCAATAGCTTTGTTAGAAAGAAGGACATAGATGTTACTTACTGTATCTAATTGGTAGTTTGTTGTGAATTTGCTTTGAAAACCATAAATGTCACACAGACCTAACATTTCTAATTTAAACTTTAATATTCATGATTCAGAAACTACTGCTGTCAAATTAATTGGAGTGTGTTAAAGCTTTAGTATTAAAATTTATCCTCAATATAGAGAGTTTTATTTCTCTATTATATAAAAAAACCTTCCAATTTTCAGTAACCAATGACAGGGTGATGACTTCATGATTCCACCTATCTTCATTTAATTTTAAGGCCCTTTTATTTCTGAGTTTTTTAAAATACATTTTGTGATAGTGCTTTGTTTCTGCTCTCATACTCTAAACTTAAAATACTAAAGTATCTTAGTATTTTGAGGATTATTTTATAGGAGAGCAGAAATAAAGTTTAATGTATTTGGATAAGCATGAGAAATGTTAATAAAGGTATGACTTGCAAGGATTTAATTTATAGTTGAGAAACCTTTACAATAGTGGGCCCATATGACATTGCATTGTTAACTTCTCTCTTCGTTTTGAGAAGAGATATTTGTTTAATAAAGGACTTATATATTCTAGTGTTTGTATTGTTTAACATAAAAGTTCAAAGTAATCACTAGATGTCTTCTTTTGATGTACATTTTAAAGTACGTTGTCTGCATTTTTTTTGTTTGTCAAATAAGGGAAAAACACCTCATATTCCATGTTTTTATTCCCCCCCCTTAATTTTTATCTACAGAATCATTGAGCTTTTATCACAAACTCATTTTCCTTTTTATCATAGATTAAGGTGGTTTTTTTTAAATTTTAACTAAAACCAAAAAACAAGTTAATGGGATTGGATAGCTCTCTCCTAATCTCTTTTGCTTACAGTTATTGTGTAATCTGCTGCCAGATAAATATTTCTAAGGCACAAGTCTGATCACATCATTTTTATAAATCTTTAACAGCCTCCCAGGTTCTAAGAATCAAATTAGGAACTAATATTTATTAAGCACCATTTGTTTGCTATGCACTTAATATTTGAGAAAAAAATTTTTTTTAATTTATATAGATAATGTGGCCCCATTTTATAGATGGGGGAACCATGTCTCAAGAGGGTTAGGGATTTACTGTTATCAACTAGGAAATAATAGTTCTATTAGAAATCAGTTCTACTTGTTTTCTACTTCTTGCTCCTTCAACATAGTCATATTTTATTTATTACAAAAGTGAACCTAATAAATATTTTGTTTGAATATCACATGGCTGATGCTTTTAAAATTAATAGTTAGGCTAATAGGATAAACTTTTAAACACAAGAATAAGACTGAAATTTTATTTTTAAATATTTTGCCTGAAATGTTAGTCAAAAATTTAAATTATAAGGACAGGTTCTCTTTACCATTAGTTGATGGTATAGCAAATATTCAGTATAATCTGAATATCTATTATATTTACTTGAAATTGAGGTCAGTGGAGAAGCCAGCTGTTGGGAACCAGGTGGTAGTTTTTTTCCTTAATTTTTTTCTTCATCTTCATATTTAGTTTAACAGGGTTTAAATATGTAGTGGGCATAACTGAATATTTTCCCTATCTTGTAAAATTTTGATGTAGTGGAAATGACATATTGCTTTTATTTTTAAATACATTTCTACCAATTGGAGAGGGAAAGAGAGCCATGCTAGTGGGCCTGTATTGCTCTTTTTTAAAAAAAAAAAAAAAAAAAAAAATTTTATTGATTTCAGAGAGGGAAAAAGGAGGGAGGGAGGGGAGGAAGGGAGGGAAAAATATCAATGATGAGAGAGAATCATTGATTGTCTGCCTTCTGCATGCCCCACACTGGGGATCGAGCCCACAACCTGGGCATGTTCCCTGACTGGGAATCAAACTGTGATCTCCTGGTTCATAGGTCGATGCTCAACCACCGAGCCACGCCTGGCTTATATGCCTTTTAATTCAACCTCAGAAGAATCTCCAAAAAAATTTTTATATGAGACTGATTCATTGCTTCCACATAAGTAACCTAAGTTAAATTACATGGAATTTTTTAAAGTTATTTAATGTTGCTGGTATATAAGATATACTTTTTATATTTTTATTAATTTCAGAGAGGAAGGAACAGAAAAAAATAAATAGAAACATCAATGATGAGAATCATTGATCAGCTGCCTCCTGCACTCCTCCTACTGGGGATCCAGCTGGCATCCTGGGCATGTGTCCTTGACTGGACCCTTCAGTCCACTGACCAACACTCTATCCACTGAGCCAAAATGGCTAGGGCTATATATAAGATATTTTTAAAAGATTGTCCTGAATATATAATATTAAAATTCTTTAGATTGGTGGTGCTCAAAATGTGGTGCACTTTGTAACTACTCTGAGAAGAAATATATGCAGAAATCAAGAACATTGAGAAACAATTTGACAATTTTATGTCTCTTGAATTAAGAAATTGGGGCTTAGATTTTAAAATTTATTTATTTTATAGAAGTGTGCTTGTAGATATGAAATAAAAAATTAGTTGTTCACCTTAATTTGAGAAATATGTATCTAGTTAAATAATGTCATTATTTGCACTAACTGTCCATTTCTATTTCACCTTGTAAATATTTGAATATCTTAATTGTCTTTGGGCATAATATTTTACAGATTTCACAATGTGCTAAAACTTCTTAAATTTCTTTTCATTCTAAAATCTTACTAATAAGTTCATATGAAATTTCATTTTAAGGAACAAGATTAGAAAGCAGGTTGTTTTTAAAGGTTGTGAGGGAGTTTTTAAAGCAGCTATCAATAGTATAATTTAGTTATCACCAAATACAGCCTCCAATCATAGAATGCAGAAAAATTGAGGGGAAGAAAAAGGACTAGTTTTTTCCTTAAACCCAGAAAAGAGTAGAGACAGAATGCTCATTTGGTTAATAAGGGCTTATTTAAAACTTGTGAGATATTAAATCTTGTATTAGTTCAAATTTTAGTTATTAGAATTGCTTTAAATTTTGAAGTCATTTCACATAACAATAAACCATAGACATTTTATGGTGGTTTTTAAAAATACATGTAACATTGTTAACTTACGTGGTGCTTTGTTATGAATATCTTTAATATGTATATAATTTAATGTATATAATTCACTATTAAGATTTGTTCTTTTTCTCTTTCTAGGCAGATGATCTATTTGAAGATCTTGAAGATCTTTGCACAAAAATGAGGAAAATACAAAGAACCAAATATAGTTCTGAAATTCAGGATCTATATTTTGAGATGATTTTTTATTTTCAGAATGAGAAGTATATCTGGTTATCTTTATGAATGTAGAGACATGAGAAGAGAGTTATGATGGCAAAAAACAAAGAGCCGCGCCCCCCATCCTATACTATCAGTGTAGTTGGACTCTCTGGGACTGAAAAAGACAAAGGTAACTGTGGAGTTGGAAAGTCTTGTTTGTGCAATAGATTTGTACGCTCAAAAGCAGATGAATATTATCCAGAGCATACTTCTGTGCTCAGCACCATTGACTTTGGAGGACGAGTAGTAAACAATGATCACTTTTTGTACTGGGGTGACATAACACTAAATGGTGAAGATGGAGTAGAATGCAAAATTCATGTCATTGAACAAACAGAATTCATTGATGACCAGACTTTTTTGCCTCATCGGAGTACAAATTTACAACCATATATAAAACGTGCAGCTGCTTCTAAATTGCAGTCAGCAGAAAAACTAATGTACATTTGCACTGATCAACTAGGCTTGGAGCAAGACTTTGAACAAAAGCAAATGCCTGAAGGGAAGCTCAATGTAGATGGATTTTTATTGTGCATTGACGTAAGTCAGGGATGCAATAGGAAGTTTGATGATCAACTTAAATTTGTGAATAACCTTTTTGTCCAACTATCAAAATCAAAAAAGCCTGTAATAATAGCAGCAACTAAATGTGATGAATGCGTGGATCACTATCTTAGAGAAGTTCAGGCATTTGCTTCAAACAAAAAGAACCTTCTTGTAGTGGAAACATCAGCACGATTGAATGTCAACATTGAAACATGTTTCACTGCACTGGTACAAATGTTGGATAAAACTCGTGGCAAACCGAAAATTATTCCCTATCTGGATGCTTTTAAAACACAGAGACAACTTGTTGTCACAGCAACAGATAAGTTTGAAAAACTTGTGCAGACTGTGAGAGATTATCATGCAACTTGGAAAACTGTTAGTAATAAATTAAAAAATCATCCTGATTATGAAGAATACATCAATTTAGAGGGAACAAAAAAGGCACGAAATACTTTCTCAAAACATATAGAACAACTTAAACAAGAACATATAAGAAAAAGGAGAGAAGAATATATAAATACATTACCAAGAGCTTTTAACACTCTTTTGCCAAATCTAGAAGAAATTGAACATTTGAATTGGTCAGAAGCTTTGAAGTTGATGGAAAAGAGACCAGATTTTCAGTTATGTTTTGTGGTGCTAGAAAAAACACCTTGGGATGAAACTGACCACATAGACAAAATTAATGATAGGCGAATCCCATTTGACCTCCTGAGCACTTTAGAAGCTGAAAAAGTTTATCAGAACCATGTACAACATCTAATATCAGAGAAAAGAAGGGTAGAAATGAAGGAAAAATTCAAAAAGACTTTGGAAAAAATTCAGTTCATTTCACCTGGACAGCCATGGGAGGAAGTAATGTGCTTTGTTATGGAGGATGAAGCCTTCAAGTATATTACAGAGGCTGACAGCAAGGAGGTGTATAGTAGGCATCAGCGAGAAATAGTTGAAAAAGCCAAAGAAGAGTTTCAGGAAATGCTTTTTGAGCATTCGGAACTTTTTTATGATTTAGATCTTAATGCAACACCTAGTTCAGATAAAATGAGTGAGATTCATACAGTTTTGAGTGAAGAACCTAGATATAAAGCTTTACAGAAACTTGCACCTGATAGGGAATCTCTTCTACTTAAGCATATAGGGTTTGTTTATCATCCCACTAAAGAAACATGTCTTAGTGGCCAAAATTGTATGGACATTAAAGTAGAGCAGTTACTTGCCAGTAGTCTTTTGCAGTTAGATCATGGTCGCTTAAGATTGTATCATGACAGTACCAATATAGATAAAGTTAACCTTTTTATTTTAGGGAAGGATGGCCTTGCCCAAGAACTAGCAAATGAGATAAGGACACAATCCACTGATGATGAGTATGCCTTAGATGGAAAAATTTATGAACTTGATCTTCGACCAGTTGATGCCAATTCGCCTTACTTTTTAAGTCAGTTATGGACTGCCGCCTTTAAACCACATGGGTGCTTCTGTGTATTTAATTCTATCGAGTCACTGAATTTTATTGGGGAATTTATTGGAAAAATAAGAACTGAAGCTTCTCAGATCAGAAAAGATAAATATATGGCTAATCTTCCATTTACATTAATTCTGGCTAATCAGAGAGATTCTATTAGTAAGAATCTACCAATTCTCAGGCATCAAGGGCAACAGTTGGCAAACAAGTTACAATGTCCTTTTGTAGATATACCTACTGGTACATATCCTCGGAAGTTTAATGAAACACAAATAAAGCAAGCTCTAAGAGGAGTATTAGAATCAGTTAAACACAATTTAGATGTGGTGAGCCCAGTTCCCACCAATAAGGATGTATCAGAAGCTGACTTGAGAATTGTTATGTGTGCCATGTGTGGTGATCCATTTAGTGTGGATCTTATTCTTTCACCCTTCCTTGATTCTCATTCTTGCAGCGCTGCTCAAGCTGGGCAGAATAATTCCCTAATGCTTGACAAAATCATTGGTGAAAAAAGGAGGCGAATACAGATCACAATATTATCATATCATTCCTCAATTGGAGTAAGGAAAGATGAACTTGTTCATGGATATATATTAGTTTATTCTGCCAAACGGAAAGCATCAATGGGAATGCTCCGAGCATTTCTATCAGAAGTTCAGGACACCATTCCTGTACAACTGGTGGCAGTTACTGACAGCCAAGCAGATTTTTTTGAAAATGAGGCCATCAAGGAGTTAATGACTGAAGGAGAACACATCGCAACTGAGATCACTGCTAAATTTACAGCATTGTATTCTTTATCTCAGTATCATCGGCAAACCGAGGTCTTTACTCTGTTTTTCAGTGATGTCCTAGAGAAAAAAAATATGATAGAAAATTCCTATTTATCTGATAATACAAGGGAATCAACCCATCAAAGTGAGGATGTTTTTCTACCATCTCCCAGAGATTGTTTTCCCTATAACAACTACCCTGATTCAGATGATGATACAGAAGCACCGCCTCCTTATAGTCCAATTGGGGATGATGTACAGTTGCTTCCAACACCTAGTGACCGTTCCAGATACAGATTAGATTTGGAAGGAAATGAATATCCTATTCATAGCACCCCTAACTGTCATGACCATGAACGCAACCATAAAGTGCCTCCACCTATTAAACCTAAACCAGTTGTACCTAAGACTAATGTGAAGAAACTTGATCCAAACCTCTTAAAAACAATAGAAGCTGGTATTGGCAAAAATCCAAGAAAACAGACTTCCCGGGTGCCTTTGGCACATCCTGAAGATATGGATCCTTCAGATAACTATGCGGAACCCATTGATACAATTTTTAAACAGAAGGGCTGTTCTGATGAGATATATGTTGTCCCAGATGATAGTCAGAATCGCATTATTAAAATTCGAAATTCATTTGTAAATAACACCCAAGGAGATGAAGAAAATGGATTTTCTGATAGAACCTCAAAAAGTCATGGGGAACGGAGGCCTTCAAAATACAAATATAAATCTAAAACTCTGTTTAGTAAAGCCAAGTCATACTATCGACGAACACATTCAGATGCAAGTGATGACGAGGCTTTCACTACTTCTAAAACAAAAAGAAAAGGAAGACATCGTGGAAGTGAAGAAGATCCACTTCTTTCTCCTGTTGAAACTTGGAAAGGTGGTATTGATAATCCTGCAATCACTTCAGACCAGGAATTAGATGATAAGAAAATGAAGAAGAAAATCCACAAAGTAAAAGAAGATAAAAAGGTAAGTTTAATTTATGACCACTAATGTTTATAAAAATTCGTTGTTGGTTTTTTTTTTACCTTTACTACACTTTTTTTTCCTTCAATTTAATGAATTTGACATCAGTGAGAGCTTAAGCTGCCTTATGTCGTTTAATATATAAAATTATCAGCTCTTTAAAATTTTCAGAATATTTTATGAGGGTACTTTTTTTTTTTTTTTTTACTGATTATATTTAATTTCACTTATTTGTGCTTTATCTTCTTTGGATAATTTTATCTCATATTCAGCATGGAAATTCTGGGTGAATATAGTCTCTATAAAAACCCAGATATAAAGTGACTTTGTGGGGTTTTTTTTTCTGTATGTAAGCATCCATTTGTCTGGTTTTCCCTTCTGAACTATCAGTTTTGCAATATTAATTTGATATACCTATCTCACACAAGCATGTTAACAGTACAATAAAACTGTAATAATTTGTAGTCTTTTAAATTTATTAACTTTTTGGGCAACTTTTTTTGTGGATAGTGATATACAGCCTACAGATTTGCAGAAAGGTTTCTTAAATTTGAATTGTAGAATTCTGTTCAAATAGCAAGTTTTAGTCTGTTATATTGTAAATAGTTACTGATTTATCTGATGGTATGAACTTAGTTAGAAACCTAAAATATATATGCTATTAAAGTTGTATTTAATAATTTTTATTTTTATTAAATCTTTTTCACAGTAGTATTTAAGCACCGTTATTTCTAATGTTATCTGTCATGAGTGTACATAAACTTTTATTCAAGATTTTTATGGTTTTCAGATAGTATTCAATAGATTTTTATACTACATATTGGTAATTTCTTCATCCTGTAAGTCCAGTCTTAATATTTAATTTACTGTAGCCAACTACTATTTATTAAACTAAATGAAAGATATAGATATTTTGAGTAACCTTATCCTAGATAGATTACCTGTATATAGTAATTACTTCCCTATAGTTGGTAGCCTCCATTTTATTTTCTAAGTTTAAGCTGCAATATTTTAAAATTTATCATTGTTTTTCAGATTAAACCTGTAAACGGGAAGGCTCATCTAGATCTATAACACAAACTCAACTTACAACACTCTACTAACTAAATATCTCTGGCATCTTTTCACAGTCACCCTATTATCACTAGTCCTCACCACATATTTTATCACTGCCAAAAGACTTCAGTACTTTTTTTAAATTTGCTTATATTATTAAAACTATTGAATGCTTATTAACAAAAATAAGCATACACAGTCTTTCCATTTTAAATTGATTTTTTTGTGTTATTTTCCTTTTTCTTTTTTAATCCTTATCTCAGGATATTTTTTCCATTGAATTTTTTGAGAGAGAATGGAGTGGAGTGGGGGGAGAGAAAGAGAGAAACAATGTGAGAGAGACACATTGATTGTGTGCCTCCCTCACTCTGTCTTGGGCCAGGGATCGAACCCTCGACCCTTCATTCTGCAGCCTGACACTCTAATCACCAAGCAAAACCAGCCAGGGCTATTTTATTATTTTTTATCATAAGTCTGCTTAATTGTTTTAATAACTATTAATTTTAATATTTTCATATTCTTCTTTATTCATTCCACACTTTTTATTTTTACTTAAAAATTTTAATGTTATTTTAATTATTGAAAGTGTCCCCCTTTTTCTCTGGAATCCTTTGTCCTTCTCCATCTACCCCTTCTTCCCCCTTCCTTGGCCTTCACCAAACTATTGTTTGTGCCTATAGAATACGTATGCTTATATGTTCTTTAGCTAATCCCTTCACCTTTATCCAGTTACCCCCACTTCTCACTCCTCAGGTACTGGCCAGTCTGTTCCATGTATCCATTGCTTCCAGTTCCATTTTGTTTATCAGTTTCTTTTGTTTATTAGATTCCACATATGAGAATATATGCTCTTTGTCTTTCTCTAACTGGCTTATTTTGCTTAGCATAATACTCTCCAGATCCATTCATATTGTTGCAAAGGGTAAAAGTTCCTCTTTTTTTTTTTTTTTTACAGTGGCATAATATTCCATTGTGAAAATGTGCCATAGCTTTCTTATCCACTTACCTGCTAATGGGCACTTGGGCTGTTTCCAGATTTTGGATATTTGTAAACTAGCGGCCCAGTGCACAGATTCGTGCACCAGTGGATGTCCCTCAGCCTGGCCTGCACCCTCTCACGTCTAGGACCCCTCAGGAGATGTTAGAGAGCCTCTTTAGGCCTGATTCCCACAGGCCAGCCCGAGGGACCCCACCAGTGCACAAATCTGTGCACTAGATCTTGAGTATGCATATAAGATTTTTTATTAATCTCTTCTCACCTTTTCCCCTACCCCCTTCCCTCTGAGATCAGTCTGTTTCTGCTCCTGCTTTGAGCATCTGCCCCCTCCTGGTCAGTGCACATCATAGCTACCGGATGGTCAGCCAGTTGTCCGGTCGCTTAGGCTTTTATATATATAGGTATTGCTGTGAATAAAGGGTTACATATATTGTTTCTGATTGGTGTTTTGAAATTCTTAGGATATATTCCCAGAAATGGGATCGTTGTGTTAAAGGCAGTTTCATTTTAAATATTTTGAGGAAACTCCATACTGTTTTTCACAATGGCTGTATCAGTCTGCATTCCCACCAATAATGTACAAGGGTTCTCTTTTTTTCCACATCCTCCCAGCACTTGTTGTTTGTTGTTTTATTGTTAGTATTTATTCTGACAGGTGTGAGGTGATACCTCATTATAGTTTTTGCATCTCTAATGATTAGTGACCTTGAACATTTTTTCAGATGTCTATTAGCCATACATATGTCATCATCTTTGGAGAAGTGTCTACTAGGTGTACTGGTTAACAATGCGGATTTTAATAAAAGAAAACATGATAATTTCAAGAGAAATATCAAAAGTGCTTTATCAAAGTAATGTCCCATTGCTAGCTGCACATTTCCCCATCTTTCAGGTAATTTGTGGATACCATCCCAATAGAACTTTTCAGAAACCCAATTTTCCACTTGTTCGTATGTTTGAAGTGCTGCTCAGAAAGTGTATATGCCAGCAATCAGAACAAGTAGTAATCTGAAGGAGCAAGGTCTGTGAATACAGCTGGTGGGTTAATATCGATACTTCCCAGGCAAGATCTTTTAACGTGTCTTTAACTGATTTTGAAGTATGTGATGATCCATCATCATGAAGTAAAATTACTTTGCCATGTCTTCTAGAACATTGTTTTACAATCAAAGCCTGGTTCAAATTGATTATTTATTGTCAGTAGTGATCAGTATTAATTGTTTCACCTGGTCATAGGAGCTCATAATATACCACAACTTCCTGTTCCCACCAAACGCAGAGCATGGTCTTTTTTCCAAAGCAGTTTGGCCTTGCAGTCAATGTTGATGATTGACCTGGACCAACCCATGATTTTGTGCATTTGGGATTCTCAAAAAGAAAAGAACTTTTCATCACCAGTCACAATTTGCTGCAAAAAAAACTTTTCGTGTCCATTGAAGCAACATTTTACTGATGACTTTTCGGTTTTCCATTTGTCTTTAGTTCAGTTGATGTGGCACCCATATTCCTTCCTTTAAAATCTTTCCCATTGCTTATAAACAATCAGATATTGTTTGCTGAGCAATGTTTAATCTCTCTGCAAGTTGTTTTTGAGTTTGATACGCATCTTCATCCAATAATGCTTGTAATAGTTGGTCTTCAAACTTTTTCGGTTGACCTGGATGTTCTTTGTCTTTCACATCAAAATCATCACTTTTAAAGCATTTAAACCAGCGTTCACAAGTATCTTGAGATGGAGCATGTTCTCCATAAGCTTCCTGAAGTATTCAGCAGCACTTTTCTTAAAATAATGGATTATAATTTCCCACAAATGCTTTTTTTTTTTTTTTTTGGCACGAAATTCTACATTTTTAAGCGTAAAACTATCTATGATGTTAACAACTTAAGCAAATTGACATAGGAAGTTTTGAAGCTTGCAGTACAACAAAGTAGCATACATATCAAATCGCATATATATCAACATATGTGTAACTCTCATCTATTGGAAAAAAATCAGCATTATTAATTAACTGGTACACCTAGTATTCAGGTCCTTTGCCCATTTTTTATTTGAATTGTTTGTCTTCCTGGTGTTCAGTTATATAAGTTCTGTTTCATGACTTAACTTTAAGTCTTTTATCCTTTTTAGTTCAATCTTATGTATGGTGTAAGTTGGTGGTCTAGTTTCATTTATTTTTGCATGTGCCTGTCCAATTTTCATAATACCATTTATTGAAGAGACTAACTTTACTCCATTGTATGCTCTTGCCTCCTTTATCAAATATTAATTGACCATAGAGGTGTGGATTAGTTTCTGGGATCTCTGTTGTGTTCCATTTGTCTATATGTTCTTAAGCTAGTAGCAGACTATTTTAAAATGGATTTGTAGTATAGTTTGATATCCTATATTGATACCTTCAATTTATTTTTCTTTCTTCAAGATTGCTAAAGCTATTCGGGGTCAATTTTTGGTTCCCTGTAAATTTTTGGAATATTTTTTCTAGTTCTGTGAAATATCCCACTGGTGTTTTAATAGGAATTGCTTTGAATTTACAGATTGCTTTAGGTAGTATGGATATTTTAGTGATGTTAATTCTTTCAATCCATGAACAACGAATGGTATGTGCTTCCATTTATTTGTATCTTCCTGAATTTCTTTGTTTAATGTCATATAGTTCTCCGAGTTACAGGTTTTATATCCTTTGCTAAATTTGTTCCTAGGTACCTTATCTGTTGTTGCAATAGTTAGTGGGATTGTTTCCTTAGTTTCTGTTTCTGATGGTTCATTATTGGTTTGTAAAAATGCCATCAATTTCTGGATCCTAATTTTATATTCTGCAACTTTGCTGAATTCATTGATTAGATCTATTAGTCTTTCGGTGGTCTTCAGGGTTTTCTGTATACAGTATGACATCATCTGCAAAAAATGAGTTATACTTCCTCCTTCCCAATTAGATGCTTTTTATTTCTT